CCCGAGGCGCTGGCCGACCGCGAGGAGTTCTGGGCCGTGTGCCGCGTGCCCGGGCCCCTGCACAGCGGCGACATCCTGGGCCTGGTGGTCACCGCCGACGGCGAGCTGCACCTGAGCCACAACGGCGTGCCCACGGGCATGCAGCTGTGCGTGGACGCCTCGCAGCCGCTGTGGATGCTCTTCGGCCTGCACGGCGCCATCTCGCAGGTCCGCATCCTGGGTGAGTGGCCGTCCCCGCCCCCCGCGGCCTACTAGGGAGCAGACGCCCAAGGTGAGAGCGGCCCGACCGGGCCACCTGTGTCCTCAGAGCACGCAAGCCTCCCCTGGGGCGGGAACGGATGCCCTGAATCCCACAGATGCGCAGGCAGCCTGGACACACCACGCCTCAGGCGCCCTTTAAAAATGCTGAAAAAGCCAGGCGTGGAGCTCAGGCCTATAATCCCAGCACCCTAGGAGGCAGAGGCAGGAGGATTGCAAGTTCCAGTCCAGCCTGGACAATGTAGTGATTTAGCCAGACCCTGCCTTAAAAAAATAAACACAGAAACAACTGGAAACATTGAAAAAAGCCTGACGCTGTAGCTCAACGGGAAGAACCCGGGTTCTCTCTGCAGTGCAGTGGAAAAGGTGGGGGTGATTTCCCCCAGCAAGGAGCCTTTTGAGGCTGCATTTCCATTTCTCTACACAGACAGTAAAGGCATCTGGCCTGACTTCTGGTCATGGGGCTAAAGGAAGGACCAGTTGGTGTCGGGAGTCAGGTGTCTCTGCAGGGTGGTGCCCGGGGCGTGTGATTCCCGAGCAGTGCTCCAGAGGAGAGGGGTGGCAGGGTTCTGAGCCTTCCCTTTCTGGGGGTCCTGGGGTTGGAGTGGACTGGGGCTGTGGGTTTATGTAAGCCGGGTTCTCACGCTGTCCTGTGGGATGTGAACAGGTGGCCTTTGCAGAAGGGACCTTGTGGTTCGGGAAGTTTAGGAAACCCTCAATGAGGAAGAAAGTGGGAAAATTTACTGCAGGACTTCTTAGTGCCTTTACTAGGCAGTGTGAATCTTTTAAGGATAGTGATGGTTACAGGGTACAGTTTTTCCAAAGTAGTGAGTGTGTGTGTGTGTGTGTGTGTGTGTGTGTGTGTGTGTGTTTTGACCCAGCTTCAATATGCAGTTCAGGTTGGCCTTGAACTCACTTTGTAGCCCTTGCTGGCCTTGAACTCACAGTGATCTTCCTGCCTCAGCTTCCCGAGTGCTAGCATTACAGGCATGTGCCACCACACCTGGCCTGTTTTCCAGAGTGATTGGATCAGGAATTTTTTTTCACAGAGCAAATCCTGGGCCCTCTGTCACTCTGGCTGGAGCAGAGGTCCTTGCTTTGCCAGTGTTGGTCTCTGACCAGCCCTGTTAGAGTGGCGGGTTTCATGAGCCTCACATGGAGAACCTCGTGAAGCTCAGGTGCTTGCATCCCACCTTCAGGGATCCCAGTTCTGTGGACCCTGGACACGTTCTGGGCAGCTGAATTTTTCTTTCTTTGCCTGGTGCTGGAGTGTGCTAGGCAAGTGCTCTACTCCTGAGCCACAGCCCCAAGTCTCACTTCTGTTTTCTAAGACAAGTATGCTTAGCCAAGTTTGGAGAAACCTTGGGCCTCATAGCCCTTAGCCCAGGAGTGTCATCGCTGGAACGATGCATGTGAGTGTGTGGGGCTGCATGGCTCCGTGAGGCTGGCCCAGGAGACACATTTGAATAGGTGTGTGTGTGTGTGTGTGTGTGTGTGTGTGTGTGTGTGTTGTATGCCTGCGAGCCACATGTGGAGCTCTTGTGTAGTCAGATAAAACAATAGGGGACTTCCAGTGTTGGAAAGAAACCAGGTGAAGACGGAGTGAACAATAAAAAAGGGGAGAGCAGGAAGGGAGCCAGGTGCTGAGAAGTGAGACCTGAGGGAGGCTGATCAGGACACGTGCACAGAAGTCAAGCACGAAGGGGAGGCAGGCTGGGGTGAGAATTCGGATGAAGGAGAAACAAATTGAATGGGAGGGGGCAACAGAATGGGGCAGTGCTCCTCAGGGAAAGGCGACATAAGGGCGAGGCGCTCTTTTGCGTCAGCACCATCTAATAATAGATAAGCTTCCAGCACGGCTGCTGTTGCCCAAAGAGGTTTACGAGACTGAGGCAAAGGGGAATTTAAAAATATCAGGACTTGTCTTGTCCCTGGAGGTCTGTGGGCCAAGATGGTGTGGAAGAGGAGCCATCCAGAATCCGGTGCTGTTAACAGGGTGCTCCAGAGCTGAGAGGAGAGCCGGGCCTCTCACCCACACATGCTGCTGGGGCCCCGACTGACTCCAAAGGAAAGTGGGTCGGGCAGTGTGTGCAGGTCTCTGGTTTATCTCGCAGAGGGGAGCTTGACTTTGTGGAGAGCCTGAGTAAATAACAGTTAGAAGGATATTTCCTTCCTTTATTTGCACCACAAATCCTGCAGCCAATCGCACATTTATAGGTGGAACATTAGAAATAGTCTCACAAAAAACAGAAACATAACAGATGCCTTATGTAGCTGAAGATATTCTAAAGAGGCTGGCCAGTGCAATAAGGCAAGAAAAGTAAAGGAAGCATTTCTGAAAGAAGACAGTTGACTTAAACACATTAAAACGGGGAGAGAAACTCTATGAGCACCCAGTTGCATGTGCTTAGAAATACTAACACTGTTGCATGAGTTAGAAGTAATAATAATATCTCTTGGTGCACCTGCTCCTGTGCAGCGTGTTCTGTTGGGGCTGCGGGGAGCCGCCAGTGGGCCGGATGTCCTGATCTCAGAAAGTTCCAGGTCGAGGTGGAGAGACAGAGCTGGGGGCCTGGGCACAGACGCCTGACAGCCCAGGCCTCGTGGTGGTTCAGTCCTGCGTTCAGTGTGGGCGTGTGGCTGGTTGGTGCTGGCACCTGCAGCCCTGGGTGAGGGTAGGTCTGGGGTAGGATTCTGGGCAAGGGCAGGTTTGCAGGAAGTGTCCGAGGGCAGAGGTGTTGGCACCCTGTGGGGGGTGAGGACAGAGAGCAGGGCTGGCTGCTGGGCTGCCGGTGGAGTCGGGCTTGGGGGCCCCTGCCGGTCGGGCACAGGCGGGAAGCAACCTTTCTACCCTCCTGTGCAGGCTCCACCATCCTGGCTGAGCGAGGCACCCCGTCGCTGCCCTGCTCCCCTGCATCCACGCCGACCTCGCCCAGTGCCCTGGGCGGCCGCCTGTCGGACCTGCTGCTCAGCCCATGCCGCTCTGGGCCTCTGGGCGGCTCTGCCGGCGGTAAGTGTAGCGTGCCACCCTGCCCCAGTGCCATGGTGGGCGTGGCTCGTCCCTCCTGCCCCTCCCTGGGCAGCTTTCTCCAAAGGACTTTGTTTCCCTGTTGACAGCACAAGGGAGGGCAGTGGGTAGCTCAAGAGGAGCGGCCTTGGAAGACCTGGCTCCTTTGTCCTCCCTGCCTCTGCCTCCCTGCTCTCCTCTCTGCCTTACGGCTGCCTGGGCCCTGGTCTGGGCTGAGCGCGGAAGTGGGGCCGCTGCGCTCCGTGTCTTCCCTGTGTGGAGGGACAGGCCTCTTCCCAGGAGTCTTGCACCACCCTGGGCCGCCTCTCCTGACTGGTGGCCCCTTGCCTCCAGGGACAGCCCCCAACTCGCCGGTGAGCCTGCCGGAGTCTCCAGTGACCCCAAGTGTGGGCCAGTGGAGTGATGAGTGCACCATCTGCTACGAACACGCGGTGGACACGGTCATCTACACGTGCGGTCACATGTGCCTCTGCTATTCCTGCGGCCTGCGCCTCAAGAAGGCCCTACATGCCTGCTGCCCCATCTGCCGCCGCCCCATCAAGGACATCATCAAGACCTACCGCAGCTCCTAGCCTGCTGTGGCACCCCACTCCACATGCCCACCTGTGCAGTCTTCAGCCCAGTTCCGCTGAGCGGCCAGCCAGCAGAGCCTCTCCTCACCTTGGAAACTCCGTCCCTTTCCACTAAACGTGAGAAACTGAGGCCCCTGAAGGTCTGAGCAGAGCAGGGGTCAGGGACAGGAGTGCTTCGCTCCTGAGGGGAGAGAGGAAGTGGCATTCTCCCCAGATTCCCCTTGTGTGCCAGTTTTGGCTTAAATTGGGGGCCTCAGCCTGTCCTGCTCCTTCCCCATCAGGGCAAATTCCTAGGAGTTTCCTGTAGTCTGTATGGCACCTTGGCGTACCTACGAGAATGGTACCTTGCTATGGGCAGACGAGGCCCAGAGCCAGGGCCTGCGGCTAGGTCCGTGGGGGAGGGACCGGGTTTTAGCCTCCATCGGCCCCCTCAGCCAGCTGTCCTTGCACAGTACACAGTGTGCTCAAGAGCAGCCCTGGTGGGCAGCTCCCGAGTTGCTGTCTCACCCTCTGACCTTTGCCTGCCCTGCCTCTGACCTCCTGTCTTCCCCACCCATTGGGCCTGGCCACTGCGGGTAAGATGGCAGCAGACTTCTCTCACCCTGGGCAGCCGAGCCTCCTGCGATGGGTGGTGGGCAGTCTGCTGAGGCCCTGGGTCTGGGGGAGACCCCTCCTGGCCTCCAGCTTCTGCCCTGATCATCTTGCTGGGTGCTGTTGCCCAGGCTGCCCTTCGATGGAGCTGGGGCCACTGTGGGCGGCCAGGGCCTCTGAGAGCGGGTCAGTGGCTGCCCCTCAGGCCTCTGTCCCTTTGCAGAGGCAGACGAGCGGCCGAGAGGGGCCAGGGTGGGGCAGGGCTTCTCTGGGCTACAACCAGCCCTTCTCCATATTTTAATTTATTTATTTATTTGGCTTGTGGGCTTTGTTGTTTGAGGGTGAGTTCCCACCCGCCGGGCCCCAGAAATGCTGGTGAAGGTGGCAGCAGAGGTGGCTATCACCCACAGTCTCCCCACCCTGGCCGTGGAGCTGAGGCCAGACCTGCTACCTATGGGCTGGTGCTCTAGCCTAAGGGAGCCGGGAGGGAGGCCTCCCAGCAAATCGTGTCCATTTCTCAGAGAAGCAGGCCGAGTCTCCTGGGAACTGGGGCTGGTGGGTCACCCAGAGCCATGAAGCACACCCTGGGGACTCCTGTCACGCAAGGGCAGGGAGGACTCTGGAGTAGGGCTCTGTGTCCTGGGAGGAGGTGTGGGCTGTGCCTGGCTCCCAGCATGCTCTTCTGTTACCACCTCAGCCCTGCCGGCCCTGCCTTCCCAGCCCCTCCCGGGGCAGGCAGGGTGTGGGCTTCTAGTCCAGCTGCTCACCTGGACGGGGGCACCTTCAGCCTCAGCCCCCGTGCAACATGGCTGTCTGGGGGCGGGACAGACTGTGGGGTGGCTCTGGGAGCACTTGGGCAGGGACTGCCAAGGGGTGTGGTGCGCTGTGATGGGGCTCTGGGCCGGGCCTCTGCATGTGCCAGCCTCACGGGAGGCTGGGAAGACGCCGTGCCACTCCTGAGCGTGGCCCCAGTCAGCGTGTCCGCGAGGGAAGGAAGGTTGGCAGCGCAGGGGCTGTGTGGCCCGAGGCCGAGAGAAGCAGCCGCCACCCGTGCTATCAGTGCTGGGGTTGTTGATTGTGAACTGGGGTCGCTGTGACGTGAATAAAGGTGATTTCGTACCAGCCCAAAAGCTGTCCGGTGCGTGAGAAGGCCAGGCGGGAGGTCATCTGTAGGTGGGCAGCCGGCAGAAGGTGTGGGAATCACAGGCAAGGCTAGAGTTGGGCACTGGACCATGACCTGGCCTTGGGATGCCGGTTGGGCCTGTAAATTGGAAGGGAGATGCCACTGCTTTATGGGTGGCCTCAGGTACCAAGGTCTGTGGGAAACAGGGTCCCACCTGCCACGGAGCCCGTGGACTGGACAGCGCCACCTAGAGGGCTGTAGGGGAAACAGGCCTGAGGGCAGAGGCCAACACCTGGGTGGTGCTGCAGCGGGGAAAAGGGAAACCTCCAGGCAGGGACAGTTAAAGGAACTTTCTAGATGTGCTAAGTGCACCTGGGCCGTGGAAAAAGCTGGGGGTGGCAGGGAGACGGCCAAACTGGCCCCACGGTCTAGGCAGTGTTGGAACTGTGCGGGGCACCTGGGAGGCCTGCCTACCTGCCCTCTCTCCTGGGAGGATGCTCTGGATACCCAGCCGTGGCCTGGCCTAGCACCTTCCTGCAGTGCCACCCCGCCCTGCTTACTGGAGCCCCGCGCCGGGAGGTGGCGTTGGGGTCCAAGCAGAGAACCCAGGCCTGGCCACTTCCCAAAGCCTCCTGAGGGGGAGCGCTGGGGGTCTTCAGCCTGATTCTCACCCGCAGTAGTGGGAATGCACCTCCCCCTCCCATGTCCTTGGGGAGGGCCCTGGGAATCTGGAGTCTGTGCCGCATTTTGGATAATGAACGCCCAGGTGAGGGGTTTTCCGATGTCCAGGAGAATTAGGTGATTCTGTTCAGTTAAAAAGGCCAAAAACTTTATTTAGTTTTCAGGGAAATACAAGATGCATGTAAACATAAACCAAATACAAAACAGAACAACCCAAATGTTACAGTCTAGAGGCATGCCAAGACAGAGCACTTCTGCAGACCAAAGAGTCCCGTCAAAGTGATAAAGGACACCTGGAAAACGGTGGGCCAAGGGGCTGGGTCTCTTCCCCACGACACTGCGTGTTTGTGAGGAGATTTAAAAAGCCCACCATTAAAAATATCAGAAACGAGATAGTTTAGCACCACCATTGAACCTGGGAATATTCTAGCACTCACACTGACTGCACTGCACGTAATGTCCATCTCTCCAGTTTCTCTGCTGAGGGGGAGAGGGAAAAACCTGGACCCATGGAGCCCACTAGACGCTGGGCAGGGCTGTGTGGATGCCACGTGGAATCTCCTGCAGTTCTGCAGCCTCGGCAACACCCACCAGTTCACGCCCAACCACGCAGCCCGCGGTGACGGGCACGCACATCTGTCCTGCTCACCAGTCACCTTCTGCAGACCTCAGTAACCAGCAGGGACGCCCACCCCCAGGCTGTGTCCTGGATTCAAAGGGAGCCTGTTGCAGAGAACAAGTTCAAAATTCGAGAACGGTGGCCATTTGCCCTTCTTTAACTCTTTAAGAGCAGTGTGCTTTGGTTAGAAGCCAGAAAAACATGCAGGGCAGATTGACGGGCACGCCTTTCTCCTGTCCAGCTCACAGCTCGGCGGGCAGAGCCACTGCGCGTATAAAGAGCCTCAGGAATACCTGGCCATCAGTAGAAGGCGAGCGAGGCTGTGCTCCTCTCAGATGGACCCGACAGACCCCACCCTTCGGCTGGGGGACGGTGGGTCCCTACGCCTGGCCCGTCACAGTCACTCATTCCTAACTGATTCACTCACCCGGAAGGCCAGCTCTGGACTGGATAAGGGCAGTGGGCAAAATCAGTTGGGAACCTGGAAGGCGGAAGTGAGTCTACTGGAAACAGGGCCTCTGAACTCAAAGACTTGTGTGTTGCCTACAACACTCCTTCTCCGCTAAGTAAAGCAATGCCCACTCCCACATAATCAGCTTGCGGCCAGTCAGTAGCAGTGTTCTCTGGCTGGCTTCTGCAGCCAAGTTTGGAGGATTTTCCAAACTTCAGCTTTGGCTGGACCCTTGGATGTCGAATCATGAAATTCCCTGCCTACCTGTTCTCTCGGAAACACTCAGCATCAACTTCTTTCTTCTTTCCAATCAATAAAGACAAAACAAACCTCCAAACTCTCTTCCTACCTTCCCACACCTTTTCCCCTAGAAGACACCTCTTCCGGAAGCCTCCTCCCCAGTGCAGGGACGTAAGCCCCGGCCAGCCCAGACATGCACACCCTCCA